AGGAACGAGAGGAAGAACGAAGAATTATGCAAAATGATTTATTACCTTGCGTACATGTTGATGTATTTCTGTGGGGTATTTCATTATTTACTTCTTCCTTTTTCTTTTTTTTTTTTACGTTGCTCCACACGTGTCTCAGTGTTTGCTTTATTACGGCCACACACGGGTAGTTTGTGTCGCGGATATATATATTGATGTCATTTCCAGTTAGGCACTGACGTAGGCACTTTTTTTAGGCATCCACTCTCCACAGCATGCTGCCTGATATTTTGGAATCATCCCAGGTGTAACGCAGGCACCGCCGCCGTGGCACGCATGGGAATAAAGATGGAACGCGGAACAGAGAAATATATTGTGCTGCACTTGTGTCTGTTGCATTCTTTTTTTTTTGAGGAGGTTTCAATTTAGAAGAGGAGGGATGAACATTGCACGATTCCGTGGCTTGGAGCTATTATGCCTCATTATTATTTTTGGTATGATCTCTGGTTCCCACTCTTGTCTGCCCCGATTGCCTCCCTGAGTGAAGCTGCGCCATGAACATCCTTTTTGTTGTTGTTGTTGTTTGCAGGAGGAAAAACAAATTGCGAGTGAAGAAACCACACGTCATGTATGCAGCGTTCAGAGAGGTACGTATTTGAGGTGGAGTGCACATATGTGGATGTCATGTGAGACGAAACGGGGGTTGACTGCCCAACCGTAACTCCTTTTCTGGAGAGTGTGCTCTTCTTTTTTTTTTTCGCCCCTTTTGTGACAGAACAGGGAGGAATTGAGGGCCACCTTCCCACGAAAGGTCTTGCGCACATACACACTCTCGTGCCACTGTCGCCCTCGAAGTTGGGTACAAAATACAAATCCTGCTGCTTTTTGCATTGGCGCAATTATTTGTTTATCAACTGACGCCATTCTGTCCGGCGTGCCACTTTGATTGGATTGTGTGGGATTGCTCGCCAAGGCCATCGAACAAAACAGGCCCACTTTTTCACGTGCTTAAATGCCGTCTTGGACGCACTTATTTTTTACATGTACTGTTGATGTGTACTCAAGTAGCGAGGAATCCGGAACTATGCGTGCGTGGAATTTGTCCTGTCATTTGAACTGCGGACAACACCGAGGGGCTGCCACTTTGACTCCGCAGAGTTGTTGTGTCTCTTTGCAGGGCTGGCAGGGAAATTCCATGCCTCCTGCTACTGCTGGTGTGTCCTTAGATTTCACTCCATGCGAAGTAATGTGCTTCAGCAAGTGAGGGTGTTGATTGGGTTTGTGTGCACTCTGTTTCCGTTTGCTACTTTTTGCGGGCACGCAACACTTGAGTGGTGGGAAAATGGAGCGGGGCGATGCATGGCCGCGTCTCGCCCATCGTTCACTGCACGATGGTGTGGTGCAAATTGTGGTGCTAACTCTACGATGTGAATGCGGTCCCCTGCGCGGCAATGGTGGTGGGTGGAGGAGAGTGTTGACCCGCGGCGGGACGGTGGGATCGTGCCTCCTTTTCTCTTTGTTCCTTCCCCCTTGTGAAGGTGTGCACTTATTTTTTGTGTCGGTGATGGGGCAAACAGACCGACAACGTGAATAAAACAAAATAAAAAAGGGCGATAATGTGGCGGTGTTGGGGTTGGTTGCACGCCTCGTGTTGCTGCGGGGGCGGTGGGCCTCGGCTGCTTCACCGACAGGCGTTGCAGTGCGGCTGCATGGCGTACCGAACACCGAGCCGTGCGAGTGCCACGCCCAACGCCATTGGGACTGCGGGACGAAACAGACGCGAGTGTCCTTTGGAGCCCGCGGCACCTGCTGGCCGCAGTTGGGCGGTGCGAGTGGGATGCTTTGCCGCACGGGTGTTGTGATGGCACCTCGCCGTGGCTCTTGTGATGGTTCCGACGCTGCAGCTCGACATGCGGTGGGGAGTGAAGTGTGGCCGTAGTGGACCATGAGCAGCACCAACGTGAGGCTGAGTGATTTCCTTTGGAATTATGTTGGCGGCAGGGCGGCCGTTGATGAAAGACTACAATGTGACGATGGAGATGTTTGTTCAGGAGCCGGATGATTACGTACAAGACCAGCGGCTTCTTGAAGAAATTATTAACTTCACTGCGCACCAAGCGCTGGAGGCCATTACTAAGCCTCTTCACGAAGGTGTGCTCTCTCTCGGGCAGCGTAGGGACTATGAAAGAAAGGATACGATCACTCCTCTTGCAAGGGGAAAACCAAACGGGGTACTCACGCAGGTACTGACAGAAGCGAGGCGGGAGGCAGAGGGAAGGCTAAGACGAACGCAAGAAATGAAATTTACCATTTCCACTAATATCGAAGATGTACTGTTTAAATGAAGAGTTCGCGTCAATGAAATGAGGCCGAACGACTTTCTTACGAGGGAACTGGACGGCAGGGGCGTTGTGGACACCAATCGGGATGTCTTGCTGGAGGAGTTTTTCAAGGACCCCACGAAGTATATCCGTGATAAAGGAGCATTGAACGAAATACAGGGATCAGGTCATTATTTGAGTATGAGGCGAGCTGCAAAGGGTGAAGCGATCTTCGATGAGGATATACGCAAGCTTTGCGATAAGGATGTTAACAATCCACCGGGGTGGTCATTAGCTGCTGCGGAGGTAAAAGCAGCTGTTCATAACTCCACTAAACATTTCTTGGATGCGGCTGCCGAGGAGGCGAGGAACCCAACGACGACGAGCGCACCGGAGAAACTGGAGGGATGCTACGAGTCTGTGCACAATGCGGGTGGAGCCATGCGGTGGAACTTCCGGACGGCGTGGAGCGAAAGAAAACGGGGACGGGAATGGGGGTGCATGAGGGGAAACCAGTACAGTCATGGACGTACAAGAAAGCTGACGACGCTATCGAAAAGAATGACGCTGTGCAGCAATCCGGTGCAGCACCTCCCGTGTTGATGTTGCTCGCCTCGAAGAAGGGATGGCCGTACTCGTGGAATACGATGCAGGATCCTCCTAAGGACGTTTTTGTAAACTGTGAGGTGGATCGAGCGTGGCAGATCGTCAAGGGCGATCTAACCGCGTGGTTCAGCCCTCACGGTGGGACCGACTTTAAGCCCGAGCGACGTGTGTTGATTGGGACGCCCGGGATCGGGAAATCGGTGGCTGTCGGCTCGTACCTCCTCTACCAGCTGCTGCACTACGATCTCGAGAAACTCCAAGTGGTAGTCCACTGTTTTGGTGGAGGAGATGCGTACGTGTCTGACAAAACCACCAGAGCGGCGACAAGATACGGCGATGAGGACATGTGCATTTCGGAGTTGAGAAGTTTGAGGGGGCATGGGAGGAATGTGTACATTATCTACGATGTGGCAAAGAAGGGAACGCCGCCACCGAGACATTTTGCGCCTACTTCTGGAATGGGCATGATTGCGGTGTCATTGCCAAAGGTAACCAACTATGATGAGTGGGCGAAGCAACTACAAGCCGCGTGAATCATCGTGAATTGCCCCGACGAGATGGATGTGAAGGCGATGTGCGCCTGGATAACGCGTGATGAGA